GAAGGTCCAGGAGGGGCTGGTCGTGCCCCCCCTTGGGTCCGAATTGGACTAGGGGAAGGGGGTGGCGCCCCCCTTTCCTTCCCTTCCCCCTCTCTCCCTCTTGGTGGATTCCTACTAGGACTTGGAGTCCTAGTAGGATTCCCCTCCTAGGGTGCGCCCTAGGGGCCAGCCGGATCTCCCCTCCTCTCTCCTTTATATACAGGGAAGGGGGCACCCCATAGACACACAAGTTGATCTTTATCGGCGGTGCCCCCCTCCACAGTTTTCCACATCGGTCATATTGTCGTAGTGCTTAGGCGAAGCCCTGCGTCGGTAACTTCATCATCACCGTCAACACGCCGTCGTGCTGACGGAACTCACCCTCGGCGTCAGCTGGATCAAGAGTACGAGGGACGTCACCGAGCTGAAAGTGTGCAGATCGCGTAGGTGCCGGGCGTTTGGTACTTGATCGGTTGGATCGCGAAGACGTTCGACTACATCAACCGCGTTACTTAACACTTCTGCTTTCGGTCTACAAGGGTACGTAGACACACTCTCCCCCTCGTTGCTATGCATCTCCTAGATAGATCTTGCGTGATCGTAGGAAATTTTTTGAAATACTGCGTTCCCCAACAAGAGTTACAAATGCTTGCGACCTTAGTCCCGGTGATGTTGGCTTTGAGAGTGGCCACTATTCTCATCAAAACTCGTAGAACATCTTCAAGACCTATGAGTTTGATCATATAGAGGCCTCTCACAGTGATTGACAGTTTGAGAAATTATTGCGCGCCAAGGGATCACTATCCTTTTGTGATAGTCTCGATGGATTATCTTTCATTAATATATTGAGGGCATTTTCTAGTAGTTTTTTTCGGGGGGTGGGGGGAGGGTTGTTACCTTGCCATTTGTCAAAGGATTAGGAGCTGAACCATTCATGTTTGCTTGGCGAGCAAAGAGAGGCATGTGAGAAATGTGATCGGCTTTGGAGTCATTTTGTTTCCCATGTTCTTCCTTTGCTTCTTTGGGCATTTGTTAATTTGTTATGTGTGACTTGTTGTTGCGGCTAGGTGTTGGTGCATGAAAAAAATAAGTGGAAGCCGGAAGTCTGAGTTTCTCGTTCTTCCTCTCTGGCCACTTGGATTGCCTTAATGTATGATGTTTTAGCATAATGAGGGAATTTATATGAGCAACGAGTTTTTCATAGATCTTGGAAGTGGTTTTCGGCAATCCTCAGCCTTTAGTGTTCAAAGGAGGTATCATGGTAGTGGGCGTTCTTGTGAGTGCTTCACTTGCCATTACGATGATCCTAAGTGGTAAGTGCAAGGCTTGATTCTCGGTCGTGCTCTTGTTGCCTTTCTCCTTATGGGCATGGAGCTTCTTATGCCTTCTTAGGCATTCTTTTATGAGATCTTACTTTGATGCAATGAGCCATGTAAGGAGGTGGTGACTTTGGATTATCCAGGGCTGCCTATTTTCCAAGTTGTGAAAAGGTTGAGGAGACATGACTTCAAGTAAGTGCATCCCCGCAAATGGCATCAATGTTATTGTAGATAAAACAACCATAAGGTCGACATGTTGTGGCCTAGCGAGTGTCAAGGCTAGATATAGTAATGACGGGTACATACAACGACAAGTGATTGGTTGATGTATACTTGTGGGAGTTGGACAATGATTTGAACCAAGTTCGGATGGACTTATGAAGGAGAGATGGCGTAGCCAACTAAGCGGTGTAGTATCATGTACGAGATGTCAGACCGGAGATGTGACAAGGGCCATTCATTGATACTTTCTCAACAATCCTTACCATGTGAACCTCATGCTCGAAGAAAATTTCACTCAACCGAGTTGTCTGAATAGATCAATTCAAATAATTTAGGCCACACTTGTTGTGTTTCGCATTTCGTGAGCATATTTATTATGTACTTTTACATTAGATTTGTTCATTCCACTTCCATTTTAACACTTGTAGCATGTTTAATGGATGTACTCGAATAAAAGTGGAGCATGAGTGTGTCATGTATTGCTTTTTTGGTTGTGATGGACTTGGTTTTTATTTTCCTGTTTATGACTTTGTGTTGGACTTCACATTTAGAAATAAGAGATGGTTGTGTGCAGCGATCGATGTGGAGTCTTGGTTTAACCCTCCTTTTCGGGGGAAAATGCTAATAAATGTGCTCCAACGGGTATGCAACGACCTTAAAAGGTGGAAAATGGAAACATGAAAGGATAATTTTTAAAATCACCATCAATTTATATTGTTGTTCTATTGCATTTTCAATTTCATAGGTCATATGCTTTTAATATACAACTTAAATATGAATTTAATGCTTTAGAAAATACTCTCAATAAAGGGAAATCATGCCAATTTGCATATAAAAGATTTACATACCAAACACAATTGATAATCACAGTCCCGGTATCCACATTTTTGGGATTGCAAGCCTTGTAAGTAAAAAAATACATGAAAGCCTTACATTGAATATGTGCAGTTTCTACCAATTCAAACTTTTTTAGCAGTCCTTATTTTAGGATATGTGTTACACTCACTTTTGTTAACCAATACTGGCTTGTGGGTACAAAGGTTATGGCCGAGCCTTGCCCACCAGGTTAAACCCTAGACTTGACGTCTTGGGTGTCTCCTAAATTAAATTTTGATTTACTATACTATAATCACAATAAATGAACAATATGTTTATTCACAAATAAAGGACTCTAAATACAAAATAACAATTCCAATTTTAGTGCGCATATTTTATCGGATTTGTGAGTGAAATTATGACATGTTTTAAGGTCCGTAAAAGTTTCAAACTTAATTATTGGGATAAGAAAATCTTGAAAATGACATAAAAGTATCTTAAATATATACACTTATTATTAAATCAAATTTTGTTCAGAGTTGATATATTCCAGCTTTTGGGTCCGAAAGGAACCATCGTGATCGTGCCTTGAATCAAAACAAAAAACTATAGTCATTTATAAACATTTTTGGTTCATCAAGGCTCCACAACAACATCTCAGAAGAAAAAATGGCCAAATGCATATTTTCCCCTTAGTCGGAAAAACCCCACGGGTTTTGCCCTTACTTTTCGACTCTGCTCATTTATTACTTTAGATTTGTCTGTGTGGTCGTCCAAGTGCCCTTTGACCAATACTTTGAAAATTCATATCAAAAACATATGAACTCATAATAATGCAAATAAGATATCAAATGCTCCAAAAAACATTACCTTTATGTGCATGTAATTTCATTCAGTAAAAAGTAATGTTTAAACTACCCGAGGTTATTAACGTTATCAACATTATTAAGCATAAAACGGTATAAACAATAATTTTTCATGAATAAAAATCACAATTATAGGTGATATTTTCTAAACGTTCTGGTATCTTGTTTGTATTATTCTAAGTTCATATGAACTTGTTATGAATTTTCGAAGTAATGGACAAAGTTGTTTGAAAATTCATAACAAATATGTATGAACTCAGAAAATGCAAATAAAGTATCAAAATGTCCATAAAACATCACCTATATTTTGCTTGTGATTTTTGTTCATGAAAAAAATATTGCTTACTCCCTCTATAAACTAATATAAGAGCGTTTAGATCACTAAAATAGTGGTCTAAACACTCTTATATTAGTTTACAGAGGGAGTACATTTTTTTGCTTTTTTTCAAGAAAGCTCACCATCCATGCTGAATGGTAATACATTTTTTTGCTTAGCAGTGTTAATAACATTAGTTACCTCGGGTACTCTAAATAGTACTTTTTTCTTGAATGCAAATGACATGCACATAAAGGTAATGTTTCTTTAAACATTTTGATATCTTATTTGCATTTTCATGAGTTCATATATATTGCTCGTGATTTTTAAAATACTGGTCAAACGGTCAAAAGCACTCGAACGATCTCAAAAGTAAATGTAAAGGCAAAAATGAGAAGAGTTGAAAAGTAAGGGCAAAACCCACGGGTAAGCACAACTAAGTGCAAAAGTGTTGCAGGTGGTTAATTCAAACGCTCCTAAGGGGTCGGCTAATGGAAGACAGCCAATGACCACAACATGGATCCCCCTTGTGGATGGCAGCGTGAAAATAAACGTGGATGCCGCGGTCTCGAGGTTTGGTTTCGGTGCAATCTCAGCTATTTGTAGGGACCAAACAGGAGAATTCTTGAGGGCTTCAGCTTTCGTGTGCAGACACATTTCAGATCCTACAACACTTGAAGCTCTCGCTATCCGGGAAGCTATGGCTCTAGCAGATGATCTTTGTGTGCAAAGTATTCATATTGTGTCAGTTTGCAAGGTGGTGGTTGATGACATCCAGAAGCATAATATGTCTAGCTATTGGTGCAATAGTTCAAGAGATTTTAGAGCATTCTCTTTCTTTAAATTTTCGTAACATAGTCTATGAACGTAAGAGCTCCAATTTTGAAGCTCACAATTTGGCAAAGCATGTACTTACGCTCGGTGGTGGCCGCCATGTTTGGTTAGGTCAACCCGGAAACCTTCCTTCCGTCCTAGTCAATGTGGTGACGGCTTAATAAAGCTTCGTTAAATTGCCTAAAAAAATGAAGTGCAAAAGTGTAATTGTCAAAAGAAAAAGAAAAGTCCACAACATGGGGTTGGTGGGTTGTACTTCAGGCGAAGATACAGCTGATCATGGATCGTGGATACGGATCAACTATAATATGCCGCCTCTCGACATATTTATTCAGGGTTGATGGGAAAATCATGGATACGGATCAAATATGTCGTCTCTCTACGTAGGTCGGCGTGGGTGTTTCCAAATCCCAAAACCTAAACAATATTCACATGGTGGATAGCAAGTAGCACGCTCCTGTTTGACTAGCACTAAAATACTTCGTGCGTGGATAGCCACGGCGCGGGCAGAGCGCAGAGCCTGAGCACCACCTAGCCCGCCGGTCCTTCTCGCCAGTCGCCACACCCGGCGAGCGGCGAGTCCAGCTCCTGATCAAGACCTTGCTAGTTGCTCCTGATCGCGCCATGGACGCCGGATCGGCATCCTCGTCGCTGCGCATAGTGGTCGTCCCGTGGCTCGCGTTCGGCCACCTGCTCCCGTACCTGGAGCTCTCCGAGCGACTCGCCGAGCGCGGCCACCGCGTGTCCTACGTCTCCACGCCGCGCAACCTCGCGCGCCTCCCACCGCTGCGCCCCGCCACGGCCCCGCGCGTGGACCTCGTCGCGCTCCCGCTGCCCCGCGTTGACGGCCTACCCGGCGGCGCCGAGTCCACCAACGACGTCCCCGACCAGCAGCGGGAGCTCCACTGGAAGGCCTTCGACGGCCTCGCCGCGCACTTCGCGGAGTTCATGGCCGCCGCGTGCGCCGACGAGGCCACCAGGCCTCACTGGGTCATCGCCGACTGCTTCCACCACTGGGTCGCCGCCTCCGCCGTCGAGCACAAGGTTTGACCCACCTGCATGCCGCGCGGGCTGCTTGCTTGGTTCCATTAATTCCATCGCATGCGCATCCTAAATGATCTAGTTCGACGCTCAATCCATCAGGTGCCATGCGCGATGCTTCTCCCGACTGCTGCTGTGATCGCTGCCGCACAGCCCCCGTCGACGGAGCAAAGTGAAGCGCGCGCCGAGACCCGCCCTCGTTACGAGCAGGAGGACATGGCTCCCATGTTCGACGACCAAGGCGCATCGGGTATGTCCCTCGCCCAGCGCTGGCAGTTGACCAAAGAGAGGTCCGCACTCGGGGTCATCCGGAGCTGCGTCGAGTGGGAGCCCGAGTCCTTCCCGCTGGTGCCAACTCTCCTCGACATGCCGGTCGTGCCACTCGGCCTTCTGCCGCCGTCACCCGACGGAGGCCGTCGTGCCGGCGGCGCCAACGAATCATCAGAGCACGCCACCGTGCGCTGGCTGGACGCGCAGCGGCCCGGCTCGGTGGTGTACGTGGCGCTGGGGAGCGAAGTGCCGCTGCCCCTGGAGCAGGTGCACGAGCTGGCCCTTGGGCTGGAGCTCTCCGGGACGCGCTTCCTTTGGGCTCTCCGGAAGCCCAGTGGCGCCGCCGTCCTGGATGACGGCGCCGACATGCTTCCTCCCGGTTTCCAACAGCGCACTCGTGACCAGGGGCTGGTGACCACGGGCTGGGTTCCCCAGATGAGCATCCTGGCGCACGCCGCCGTGGGCGGGTTCTTGACGCATTGCGGCCGGAATTCGCTGATCGAGGGCCTCCTGTTCGGTCACCCTCTCGTCATGCTGCCCATCTTCGGCGACCAAGGCCCGAATGCACGCCAAATGGAGGTGAAGAAGGTGGGGTTGCAGGTGGCGAGGGACGAGAGCGATGGGTCGTTCGACCGCCATGGCGTCTCGAGCGCGGTCCGGGCTGTGATGGTTGACGGAGAGGCCAGGAGGAACTTCGTGGCAGGTGCAGCGAAGATGCAGGTAGTCGTAGCTAATTCGGAACGGCAGGAACGGTACATCGACGAGTTTGTTCATCACCTTAGATCTCACGGCGCCGCCATTGCAACAGATGGCAAAGCCACTACAGCCGCTACTTCGTGAACAGTAAGGGGAATTTTTGTGTTTGATACTTTCATGCATGTTTGCTTTTCTACAGCTACTGTATTTTTAGTTTTTCACTGAAGGGATGAAACACTGAAACTGTAGCACATGTGATGTATGTTTTCGCTCAGAATTGTAGAAATGAATTTTGCTAAATCTCAGTCGACTGACAAGTCTCAGTCGATGTTATATTCATCGGATCTTATGTGAAGATCCATGAAAAAAAAATATTTTCATTTTTTTCTTACATGTTATGCCACTTGACTTAGACTTGGTCGACTGAAACTTAGCCATACCCTTGTAGAAATGATCCAGTGTATATTTTCTTTCTCGCTAGGTGGTGCTACATATATGTGACGTGGTGCACACATGACCAACCTATCAAAGTGTCGACGAGTGTGCTGAACTTGTTTTTTGATAAAGAGTGCTTTTATTAATTCATAATATCATATCAAAAGAATACAAGCATCATGAGCACATCCGGTGTCAGCATGATTATAATGCACATCGGCAAGATCAAGACACACACAAAGAATATAGAAGGGAAAAATCAGTGGCCTGTGAAACTCACGCTCGAAGTAAACTATAACATGCAGCAAAATCAACCACCACCAATGACAGCAACCAGATTATGAGGAAAATGCTTTAACAACGAAGCCTCTAATAAAGAAACGACGCACGTGTGTTGTCACTACCAGACCCACCCATGGAGACTAGATCTTAGAATTTCACCCTCAAAAGAAAGTTTGAGCAAACTACGTACATTGCCTCCAATAAGGGGATGATATGAAGACACCATCATTGCCGGGTACAACAACTGCATGACAAACCTAGAATTTTCACTTCGAAGCTCGAGACCCTGTGTTCGAGAGCACCACCAAACTTAAGTCGCCTTGTACCGTCGTCTCCACTTTCAGTGAAGAAGTCATTGCTACAAACCAGATCATCACACCTTGAAAGTCATACGAGCTCATAGCCCTAAAGTGGACATCAATACGCAAAACGTCCATACCATGTATACGCGGGAACATATTGCTATCTCTTGAGCTTACGTTGGTTTTTCCGTTGAAGAGGAAAGGGTAATGCAGCAAAGTAGCGTAAGTATTTCCCTCAGTTTTAAGAACCAAGGTATCAATCCAGTAGGAGACAACGTGATAAGCCACTGAATACCTGCACAAACAAACACCAACTTGCAACCAGCGTGACAAAGGGGTCGTCAATCCCTTCACGGTTATTCGCAAAGTGAGATCTGATAGAGATGGATAAACGGTAAAGTAATATTTTTGTTTTATGAAACGGAAAGTAAAAGATTGCAAAAGAAAGTAAATAGGAAACTAGAGTTGTAAATTGGAAACTTATATGATGGAAAATAGACCCTGGGGCCATAGGTTGCACTAGAGGATTCTCTCAAGATAGAAAATATTACGGTGGGTGAACAAATTACTGCCGAGCAATTGATAGAAAAACACAAAGTTATGACGATATCTAAGGCAATGATCATGAATATAGGCATCACGTCCATGTCAAGTAGACCGAAACGATTCTGCATCTACTACTATTACTCCACACATCGACCGCTATCCATCATGCATCTAGAGTATTAAGTTCATAAAGAACGGAGAAACGCCTTAAGCAAGATGACATGATGTAGAGGAATTAACTCAAACAATATGATGAAAACCCCATCTTTTTATCCTCGATGGCAACAATACAATACGTGTCGGTTCCCCTTCTGTCACTAGGATCGAGCACCACAAGATTGAACCCCAAGCTAAGCACTTCTCCCATTGCAAGAAAAACCAATCTGGTTGGCCAAACCAAATCGATGGTTCAAAGAAACTTGCAAAGATATCAAATCATGCATAAAAGGATTCAGAGGATATTCAAATAATATTCATAGATAAGCTGATCATAAATCCACAATTCATCGGATCTTGGCAAACATACCGCAAAAGAGTATTACATCGAATAGATCGCCAAGAACATCGAGGAGAACTTTGTATTGAGAATCAAAGAGAGAGAGAGAGAGAGAGAGAGAGAGAGAGAAGCCATCTAGCTACTAGCTATGGACCTGTAGGTCTGTGGCAAACTACTCACGCTTCTTCGGAGAGGCAATGGTGTTGATGTAGAAGCCCTCCGTGATCGAACCCCCCTCCGGCAGGATGCCGGAAAAGGCCCCAAGATGGGATCTCACGGGTACAGAAGGTTGCGGCGGCGGAAAAGTGGTTTCGTGGCTCCCCTAGAAGTTTTCAGGGTATAAGAGTATATATAGGAGGAAGATCTAGGTCAGGAGGCCACCGAGGGGCCCACAAGGTTGGGTGCGCGCCCTCCACCCTTGTGGCCGCCTCGTGGCTCTTCTGACTTGCACTCCAAGTCTCCTGGGTGTCTTCTAGTCCAAGAAAAATTATCGCGAAAGTTTTATTCTGTTTGGTATTCCTTTTCTGCGAAACTCTAAAACAAGGAAAAACAGAAATTGGCACTGGGCTTCTAGGTTAATAGGTTAGTCCCAACAATCATATAAAATAGCATACTAATGCATATAAAACATCCAAAACAGATAATATAATAGCATGGAACAATAAAGAATTGTAGATACGTTGGAGACGTATATCAAGCATCCCAAGCTTAATTCCTGCTCGTCCTCGAGTAGGTAAATGATAAAACTAAAAAAATTTATGTGGAATGCTACCTAACATATTTATCCATGTAATTCTCTTTATTGTGGCATGAATGTTCAGATCCGTAACATTCAAAACAGAAGTTTAATATTGACATAAAAACAATAATACTTCAAGCATACTAACAAAATAATTATGTCTTCTCAAAATAACATGGCCAAAGAAAGCTTATCCCTACAAAATCATATAGTCTGGCTATGCTCCATCTTCATCACACAAAATATTCAAATCATGCACAGCCCCGATGACAAGCCAAGCAATTGTTTCATACTTTTGACGTTCTCAAAACTTTTCAACTTTCACACAATACATGAGCATGAGCCATGGACATAGCACTATAGGTGGAATAGACGGTGGTTGTGGAGAATACAAAAAAGGAGATAGTCTCACATCAACTAGGCGTATCAATGGACTATGGAGATGCCCATTAATAGATATCAATGTGAGTGAGTAGGGATTTCCATGCAACGGATGCACTAGAGCTATAAGTTTATGAAAGCTCAAAAAAAAACTAAGTGGGTGTGCATCCAAGTTGCTTGCTCATGAAGACCTAAGGCATTTGAGGAAGCCCATCGTTAGAATATACAAGTAAAGTTCTATAATGAAAAATTCCCACTAGTATATGAAAGTGATAACATAGGAGACTCTCTATCATGAAGATCATGGTGCTATTTTGAAGCACAAGAGAGGCAAAAAAGATAGTAACATTGTCCCTTCTCTCTTTTTCTCTTTTTTTCCTTTTTTTTCTTTTCTCTTTTTTTGGCCTTCTCTTTTTTTGGCCTTTCTCTTTTTTTCCTCACATGGGTCAATGCTCTAATAATGAAAATCATCACACTTCTATTTACTTAGAACTCAAGAATTACAACTCGATACTAGAACAAAAATATGACTCTATGTGAATGCCTCCAGCAGTGTACCGGGATGTGCAATAAATCAAGAGAGACATGTATAAAAAATGATGAATGGTGGCTTTGCCACAAATACGATGTCAACTACATGATCACGCAAAGCAATATGACAATGATGAAGTATGTCATAATAAACGGAATGGTGGAAAGTTGCATGGCAATATATCTCAGAATGCCTATGAAAATGTCATAATAGGTAGGTATGGTGGCTGTTTTGAGGAAGGATATATGGTGGGTCTATGGTACCGGCGAAAGTTGCGCGGTACTAGAGAGGCTAGCAATGGCGGAAAGGTGAGAGTGCGTATAATCTATGGATTCAACATTAGTCATAAAGAACTCACATAATTATTGCAAAAATCTATTAGTCATCGAAACAAAGTACTACGCGCATAATCTATGGATTCAACATTAGTCATAAAGAACTCACATAATTATTGCAAAAATCTATTAGTCATCGAAACAAAGTACTACGCGCATGTTCCTAGGGGGATAGATTGGTAGGAAAAGACCATCGTGCGTCCCCGACCGCCACTCATAAGGAAGACAATCAAAAAACATATCACGCTCCAACTTTGTTTCATAACGGTTCACCATACGTGCATGCTACGGGACTCACAAACCTTAACACAAGTATTTCTCAAATTCACAACTACTTACTAGCATGACTCTAATATCACCATCTTCATATCTCAAAACAATCATAAGGAATCAAACTTCTCATAGTATTCAATGCACTTTATATGAAAGTTTTTATTATATCCCTCTTGGATGCCTATCATATTAGGACTAATTTTATAACCAAATCAAATTACCATGATGTTCTAAAGACTCTCAAAATAATATAAGTGACGTACGAGAGTTCATCAATTTCTATAAAATAAAACTGCCGCCGTGTTCTAAAAAGATATAAGTGAAGCACTAGAGCAATTTTGCCTAGCTCAAAAAATATAAGTGAAGCCCATAGAGTATTATAATAAATGACGATTCATGCGTGTCTCTCTCAAAAGGTGTGTACATCAAGGATGATTGTGGAAAACTAAAAAGCAAAGACTCAAATCATACAAGACGCTCCAAGCAAAACACATATCATGTGGTGAATAAAAATATAGCCTCAAGTAAAGTTACCGATAGACGAAGACGAAAGAGGGGATGCCTTCCCGGGGCATCCCCAAGCTTAGGCTTTGTGACATCCTTGAATATTACCTTGGGGTGCCTTGGGCATCCCCAAGCTTAGGCTCTTGCCACTCCTTATTCCATATAGTCCATCAAATCCTTACCCGAAACTTGAAAACTTCACAACAAAAAACTCCAACAGAAAATCTCGTAAGCTTCGTTAGTATAAGAAAATAAATCACCACTTTTCGGTGCTGTTGTGAACTCATTCTTTATTTATATTGGTGTAATATCTACTGCA